GGGGCGGGGTGGGGCTGTGGAAAGTGCCGGGCTGGGGCCGGGGAGGAAGTGGAAGATTTGGAGGACTTGCTGCAAGCCCTGCTCTCCCGGTGCTGTCCGTCTAGGATGGAGGAACGCATGAGTAAACAGTGAGGGTACAACAGTGGACGGAGAGCTGGGGAGCTATAACGGGGGCGATCAACCTGCTCCCCCAGTTCCAGGAACCTCCCCAAAGGGATATCTAAGTTGTAACTTGAAGGATGGATGGGGCAGACCAGTGGGGGCTGGAGGAGGAGACAGGAGGGTTGTGGGTGAGAACTGTATTTGAGTTGAAGGTGAAAATTAGCCAAGGTAATCCAAGTGCTTAGAGCAGCGTCTGACACATAGTAAGCCCTCTGTGCTTGCTGTCCTTACTCTCCCACGAATGGAGCTCTGCCCTGGCCCTCAGTGGTTGCAGGCAGGCCGACTCGAGGCTTGCCTGGTCCTTAGTGGTTCGCAGGGCGGGCAGACTAAGGCTTGAAAGCTTCCTCCTTCTCTCCACTAGGCGATGGCCACACTGACAGATCACCCGTACGCGTCCCTGACTCTCCCAGACGATGCAGCTGCCGACTGTCTCTTTCTGCGTCCTGGACTGCCCAGCGCACCCCCATTCCTCCTGCACAGGGGAGGTGGGGACCTGCCCAACAGCCAGGAGGTGAGAGAGAGCAAGAGTTCCAACACCACCAGCCAGAGAAGGGTCTCAGGCTTTCTTGGTGGGAGAAAGGAGAGGTGCTTTCTCTCAAAGTCCGGGTGCAGTCACTCCTAGCTGTCTGGAAGGGGAACCCGGCTCTGGTTTCAAGGCCTTACGCCCTTCTCCCCACCTCATGTCCTCCCTGCAGGCCCTGCAGAAGCTCTCCGATGTCACCCTGGTACCCGTGTCCTGTTCAGAACTGGAGAAGGCTGGGGCCGGGCTCAGCTCCCTCTGCCTGGTGCTCAGCACACGCCCCCACAGCTGAGGGCCTGGCCTTGGGGTCCCGGCTGGCCAGGGGGAGGGCAGCATTAGGAGGAGAAGCGGAAGGAGGGTTAGGTGTAGGATGATGAGTAGGCAGTAGTGGGGAGAGGGCCCCCAGATGGGGGGAGGGCATAGTGTGGGGAAGGATAGGGGCCACTGGGTGAGTCCTCTCTGGCAGAATCAATAAAATAGAATTGACCTTTTAGAGTGGACTGTGGCTGGTGTCTTACAGGGGCAGAGGAATGGGGTAGGGCTGAAACTTAAGGTTGGGGTCAGTATTGGGAAGGAAGCTTCTTCCATTTAAAAAAACACCTTTAGGACTGGCAGGTGGCATGGTGGTTAAGGCGGCTGGATTCCCATGTTCAAGGTCTGTGGTTCAAGGCCCAGAACTGGCAGCTTGCTTTCTCCCTTCCCCTCACTCTCGGATCAACTTTAAAAAAATAAAATAATGACAATGAATACAATTAAATAACATAATTGAAAAAAAGAAAACCTTCATTAGGTACCTAATGACTCATTGCCCAACCCTGTCATAGGTGTTTGGGTGCAAGAATTTCTGTTGTGGGGAGCATGACCTGGGCAGAGAAGAAAATATGTGGGTGAATCACTCATTGAATTTACCACTTTAAATGTCAGATGATTCAGAGACTGGTAGATTGTCATTCCATTCCTATCTGATAGAGAAGAAGAAATGATGCTTCCACGAGCATTCTTTTTTTTTTTTTTTTGAGAGGTTTTTGCTATAGGGTGCGTGTGCTCGCCAGAAAAACAGAGAGAGAGAGAGAGACAGAAAGTGAGAAATCACCCCCAGGGGAATAACCACACTGCAATCCATTCTCCTCTTGGGATCCTGGGCACACAAACACATGCACCCGGCGTGAATTTAAGCCCCTGGGTTCAGGACTTGAACCACGGTCAACTACATGGGAGTCCAGCAACATACCATTATGCCAGCTGCTGCTCCTGAAAGTTCCTTATAAGATGAAATAAAATACAGGTTGTGATGAAACAGTTCACAGAAGGCTGTATGTATGGGGGCTCCCAGCGTGCATGCAGAGCTGGCGAGAGAGTCAGGAACAGCGGCCCAGAAAAGGCTGCACTTGCGCCGAGTTCTGAGGATAAATAAGAATTAGCCAGGCAGAGAGACCAGAGGAGGGAAAAGGGTGATCCAGGAAGAAGGGATTGCACTGGGCACGGGCACTGTGGGGGCTGGGGAGAATTCCCTAAGACTGGTATGCCGTGTGCATGTGGAAAGACAGAAATAAGCCCGCACGGTGGACAAAGAGACGGAGCACCCTGTACCCAAAGCCAGGCCCACAGATGCAGAGCTGAAGCTGAAATACGCGGTTCTCAAAGACGGGCTGTCAGGAGCAGATTAGCACTTGGGGAAGATCCGTCTGACCTCAGGAGGGCGAGGGCTGGAGGGTGAGGTGAGGCTACGGGGGTAATCTAACAGGATGAAAACGAGGAGAGCACTTGCAGGCGGCAGCCCGGGTGCGGAAAGGTGTGGAGTGACGTGCAGATAGACAGGACTTGAGAGCTCTTTGTGTGGGACAGAGGATGATCTGCCTGACTCTCGGTTTCTGGCTCTGGCGACTGGGTTGGTCAAGAAAGAATGCAGAGGAAGATTAAGTGAGGGCCTTGGGGTTGACATGCTGGGTGCCAAGTGCCCGGGGCCAGCCAGGTGACAGATCTGAGAGACTCCAGACATCGGCTTTGAGATGTGAGCTGGGTGCTGGCTGTAATCTGCGGGGAGGGGGGCGGGAGGGATGTGAGGGCTGGCTGTGGGTGCTGACAGCATCCCCGAAGACGTAGAAAGGGAAAAAGAAGAGAGACACACCTGGAATGACAGGGACTACTGTGGGAAGGGGGAGCAAGGAAGAGGAGTCCAGAAGGGAGAGAAAAGCAGCAAAGAGAAACAGAGTTGAAAGAAGGGAGTAAAGGGGACCAGCAGTTGGCGCAAAGGCTATGTCGCTGGACTCCCATATAGTCGACCGCAGGTCGAGTCCCAGACCCAGTGGCTTAAACTCACAGCAGGCATGTGTATGTGTGTGTGTGTGTGTGTGCCCAAAATCCCTGGAGGAGAAGGGATTGTGGTGTGGCCATCCCTCCTGGGGGGGTGATTTCTCCCTTTCTGTCTCCCTGTTTTTCTGGTGAGTGCAAGCACCCTATAGAAAAAAACTCTCCAAAAAAACCAGAAGGGAGTAAAAGAAAGATCAAGCCAGGTGAATGCTAAAAATTCTTTACTAGGTGTGGCCAATGAGATATCTCACACCCTTATGAAGAGCAGATGAGCAATTCAGCAGACGAGTGGTGGGAAGAGAGTGAAGAAGAAAATGGAAGGAGCGGGACGAGCAGTTAGCGTAATAGCTATGTCGCTGGACTCCCATGTAGTTGACTGTGGTTCGAGTCCCAGACCCCAGTGGCTTAAACTCATGCTGAGCGCATGCGCGTGCGTGCCCAAGATCCTGAGAGAATAGAGGAGAAGGGACTGCAGCGTGGCCATCCCCCCTGGGGGGGGGCTGATTTCTCGCTTTCTGTCTCTTTCTGTCTTTCAGGTGAGTCATGCCCTGTAGCAAAAAAAAAAAACTCTCCAAAAAAGCCCTCAAAAACAAACAAACAAACAAAAACACACACACACACAAATGGAAGGGGCAGTTAGATGCCTCTGGTTCAAAAAGTTCTACATGGGCCAGCCCCATAGCCGAGCAGTTAAGGGAACCTGATCTCACATGCTGACCCCCCATTCGAATCCCGGCCTCAGAGGCTTGAAAAACACACTGGGTGCATGTGAGTGCGTGTGCCCCCAACCCTGGATAGATGGGGAAGGTACTGTGCAGTGGCCATGTCCCATTGGAGGGAACTTTCTTCCTTTCCCTCTTTCTCTTTGTCTCTCTCTGGCGAGAGAAGACAATTTTTAAAAAAAGCTTGACTGGGAGTAGATGTCTTTTTTTTTTTTTTAAAGAGTTATTTATTTTAATTATATTTGTTCATTCATTTATCTAATTTGACCAGAGAGAGACACACAGGGAGAGAGGGAAAGTGAGAAGCAAGCCGCCAGGTCCAGGACTTGAACCGTGGTCAGCTATGGGACTATCCAGCGCCTTAACACCATGCCACCTTCTAGCCCCAGTACCTGGTATCTTAGATGGGGCTTGGTGGGGCTTAGCGAGGACCCCAGTGGTGAAGGAGACATGGAAACACCAGGAGAGGTGGGAGAAGCCAGGGAGCAAGATCGGCGGCAGAGGGAGCCTGGGACCCAGGTCTCCTGACCTCCTGCTGGCGCTGGTTTGTATCCCAGGAAGCCTTTCTTTTCCAGGTGAGGGGGGATAGGAACAGCTGGGAGCCCCCAGCTTGGAGGTTTGGAGTAAGGGCTTCCCTTCAAACCACAACCGCATAGACGGTGGAGGAGTCAGCAGGGCCCACCGCGGACGGCCGGCGGGGCCTTCGGAGCGCCCTGTGGTCCAGATCCACGTAGAGCAGGCTCTGGGGGGAGAGGTGCAGAACGGTCACAGAGGTCAGACCCCCTGGGATCCGGGCCTCTTTCTTGGTCCTCTTTCCTCAGGGATTCTGGCAAGCTCCCTTCCTGTCCCCAACCGCATACCGGCTCCTCCTGGTTTGGGTCCCCTGGACACTTGGGCTCCTCCTCCTCCTTTAGTGGCCTCTGGGGATCCGCTTTCAGGAGTGGAGCTATGCGGGGGGGACAGAGCTGAAGGATGGGGAGAAGGTGACCGACTTGTCTGCTCCCAGAAAGGGCTCAGCCTCAGGAACTGAGGGGTGGGGGACGTGTGGGTCAGAGGAGGACAATGGGACGGGGATAGTCTCACCAAATCTGGGGGGTGGTCGTGGCGGGTGAGAAGGTGAGTGTCTGTAGGAGGAGGGCAGAATCAGCAATCTTGTCTCACTGGTTCTTCTTGGGCCCCAGGCGGAACCCACGACAACCCAGCGGTTTGTAGGTTCAAACCCGCGAACCCACTTGGGCGCCCTCCTCCGCCCCTCCCCCCAGTCCTGCCCACGCCCTGACGGTGGCACTTGAGGCTCTGCTTCCCTAGCTGGGGCTCCACTCCGCAGCCCGTGGCTTTGCTAAGTTCTGACCTGTCTTCTCGAAAGCATGCCCAAGCCTCCAGATCTAGTGCTTTCTTTTGCGAAGGTTCTGGTCGGGTCCCTCCAGCCTCGGGTCACGCCCCATCAAGCCAGGCCCCGCCCCTGGCGCTCACCTGCGCTTCCACCAGAGCACGCCCAGCACTCCCGGTACCAGCGCCAGCACCACGCCCAGCAGCGGGATCAGGACCTGGGCATACACCGACCCTGGGGAGCCGGCGTGGCGGGGAGGGATGCCGAGGTCAGGGGGACGATGACGGAGAGCTAGCGCTCCCGCTCAGGGCCCCTCGGCCAAGCCTCCCTCTCTCCCTGGGGTGGGTGCCCGAGTAGTCCTGTGCGCAGAGGCCTCCACCTACCGCCGCTGGACCCAGCGGCCTTGCAATCGGCCCTGTCCCCCAGCACGTGAAGCACCGTCCGGCTCTCGTCCTCGTGGCGGCCCCTGCAGATAAAGGTGCCCGAGTCCCCCGGGCTCAGGAGCAGCTCCAGTCGCCGGATACCAGAGTCCAGGGAGCGGAGGCGGCCCGCGAAGGGCTGGAGGGGAGGCACGGTGGGGGTCCCGCTGGATGAGGCCCACAGGATCGGGCGGCGGCCTTTGGACAGGCCCTTGCAGGCTGGGAAACTGGGCGCCCAGGCCCAGCGGACAGGGTGCGAGACCCCTATGCAGGAGAGATTCACACGGTCCCCTGGGTGGCCGTGCAGAGAAGCTAGGGGAGGTCAGGCGGGGAAGGAGTAAGCAGTGGTTAGGGTGAGGCCATAGGGCCAGACGACCTCTCACCTCTGCCCTCTGGCCCTCCTGGATCTTCCCTCACACCCCCTATCCCCCAGGCGCCCCCTTCGGTGTCCTCAGTCTTGCCTCTCTCTTCACAACTTGCCCAAGGCTCACTTACCTCCAGGGTCCCCTTGGACCCCCGAGAGCAGCAGCGGTAGCAGCTGCAGAACCAGAACCATGGTTGGGATGTGGTGGGGAGAGGCAGTGAATCAGCTGGGGGGAGGGGGAGACCGGAGGGAAGCTGGGGAGCAGGAAGAGGGGCTGGGGGCCCTGATAAGAGCAGGGGTGGAGCTTTGGGAATCCTGGCAGGCAAACACAGCACTAACTACTCACTCGGGGCCCTTTACACAAGCACTTTCCTCTACTGACCGCCTCCAGCGTGCCAGTGGCCATGGCACCACCAGCTCCGACCCCGCTGTCTGAAGTCCGATTCTGACTTCACCAACTCCGGGCTGCCTGACCTGAGCCAGGCGCTCAACCTCTCTGGGTCTGTTTGTTCGTCTGTAAAATGATAAAAGCACCTATTTCACAGGGTCTTCTGAGAACTAAATAAAGGAGCCCCCATAAAACACCTAGAACAATCAGGACAGTATGTAGGCGCTTGCCATTAGGATTATTTCTACTCTTACTTTAGCTTCTACCTCACCTTGCTGTGCCCACACTGTAGCTTTCGGCCTGTGGCGCCCACCTGGAAGGGCAGGTTTCTACTGGGGAGACACGTTAGAGCTCTACGCACACCTGGGACTCCGGCAGCTCTCACTAGGCTGAAGCGACTGAGGCCACCCCAGCCCAAATGCAGCAGGGCGAGGTCCTGAGTCATCCCTGGGCCTGAGGAGGGCCCTTCTTAGCAGGCGGGCTTGGCTCCCCTGGACCTGCCGCTGCGGCATCATAGAAGCTCTCTGTCATGTCACAAACCCTTCACCTGGGGCTGAGTGGGGGTTGGGAAGACCCGGGGGGCAGAATCCCCTCTGTCCTCCATTTCTGCCAGTGTGCTGCTATCAGTGTCCACGTTAGACCCAAACCTGGCCATTGTCTTAGGCCACAGCCCAGGAACGAGAAGTTTCCGTGATGATCTTGAAAATCAGAGGCCTGTGGTGATGCTTCTTCAGGGGGCAGTCAGGACTCAGCCAGAGGCCAGGAGGGGGCTCCCGGCCTGGAACCAAGAACCAACAGAGAGGTGGCCACTAGCGGCACCAGCCCCTCTCCCATCCCCACTCCCCACGCAGGCTTGCTCAGCCGCACCCCACACCTTGCCTCTTCTTCTGGTCAACTGCACGTAAGTGGGGGGGAGGGGCTAGCAGAGGCAGAAAAGGGAGGGGCCTTTGAGATTATAAATTCCTAAAGGGCCACTCAACTCCCAGAGGCGCACCCCGAAAATCTCCATCGGCTGCTGCAGCTGCTCCCATCCTCAGGACCCTCACCATGAAAGGCCTGCTGCTGCTCACCCTGTCTGCACTGCTCCTGTGCGTCTCAGGTGAGCACCTGGGGTCCCAAGGACCTGGCTCTCCCAGGCAGGACCTTGACACCCTGCCCTCCCACTGCCCTCACTCCACTGCTCAGAAGCCCAAGGAATCCCGGTCCCAGCTGGCTCAGCTCTCTGGTGCCTCCAGGACCAGGCTTCCTTTGATAAACTCCATTTGTCAAAGACCCAGGTCTCCATGGGCCACACACCTCCTCACTTCCCCCAAAGGCCCATTCTTCTCGCCTGCCAGGGCTCTTATCCTCCTGTTCCCTCCTCCAAGGTGTCCCCGGTTCCCTAGCAAAGCCCCATTCCAATATGCGATTCTCCAGATCCCAGGTAATCTGCCTTCCCCTCTCAGCTCCCCGGCTCAGCAGTGTCTTCTCAGAGATTTGGCAGCCAGTCCCAGGCTCCTGTCATACCCCACCCTCCCCACCTACTCCGTCAGGGACTAGGCGCTCCGTCTCAGAGCCATGGCCTTTCTAGATCCCCTCTGCTGCTCCTGGCTTGCACGGCCCTCCCCTCCCAATGATGCAAGCTTTCTGAATGGTCTCAGTGACCTCCTCGAGCTTCCTGGGAACCCGAAGTTTTCCTGCACCTTCTAGACAGGGGATGCCAGGGCTGCTTCCCCCTTTCGTTACACTGAAGTGCACCCGCCATGCTCCTCCACCCCTGGACTGACCCCTCCTTCCGCAAACCTTGAATCAGCTGAAGCAGAAACTTTGGGGGTGCCACCTTCTGCCCTGCCCCCTCTGTTTTGGTAAGATACTAAGAAGGAATCCGATGATCTGTCACCCAGATAGTATTCCTTTCTGCCAGACAGCTCATGCAGCGAGAGCATTCCATCCAGGTCTCATTCCTCTTCCCACGCAGTTGGGCAGGTGGCGGCTGCAGGAGGTGAAGAGTAAATTGCTGAAGCTGGCCACAGGTGGCTTCCCGTCAGTGTCCAATCCCATGCTCTTTCTGACAGTGCGAAACCCCCATGACCTGCATACATGAGACGTCTCCTTATGTCAACTCCTCACTTCCTCTCCCACCTCCCTCTCCTCAACCAGTTCCTTCCCCACGGAACCCTCACATCCCATCTCGCCCCAGCCCTGTGTTGTTGTCGATGGCCCTGTTCCTCTTGACTCATCCCCAAGTGGGGTGGAGTGAAGGAAGACATTTAGGGTGTAGGCCCTTCACAAAGCAACCACGCCACCCTCATCTGCCGCCCACTTTCTCCTTTCCCCTCATCACTCACCTGTTCTGTTCCTACTGGACCAAACAAGTCAGAACACTTACCTGATTGGCCCGTCTCCACCCTACGCACCCCTCCCCGGTTCCGTTGATTCCCCCAGTGAGTCACCTCAACCTGACTGTGTCTCCCCAGCTGACATCCGCTGCCACTCCTGCTACAAGGTCCCTCTGCTGGGCTGCATGGACCGGCAGTCCTGCCTCCTGGAGCCAGGACAGAAGTGCCTGACGACGAATGTGTACCTCGGTAACATCACCTTTAGGGGGAGTCAGGGCAGACAGAAGAGACTTTGACTGGGACGAAGGCCTGAGATGGGACAGAGATTTCTAGCAAGGATGGCATCTGGCGAAGGATTGTTATGTGCCAGACACTCCTTTTTTCTTTGAATTTTATTTCACTTTATTTATTTATTTATTTTAATTTGATCAGAGAAGGATGGAGTGAAAGAGAGAGAGAGACAGAGAGGGAAAGGGAGGAAGCAAGCTGCCGGGTCCGGGACTTGAACCGTGGTCAACCACATGGGAGTCCAGCACCCTTAACCACCACACCACCTGCCAGATCCCCAGACACTCTTATATATCTTCACATGCCCTGTTTTGATGAATGCTCATGACGATACTTCCACGGAGATGCCCTTATCCTGAGGAAACACCTTCAAAAAGAGGCAGTCGCAAGCCAAGGAGTGCTGGAAGCAGGATTGTGGGGGCGAGTGAGGAAGTGCAGGGGGAACATTAGCCGGAAAGAGAGAGAGAGAGAAGGGAGGGCTGGGCAGAGTTAGGCAGGAGGGAAGCCTGGGGGGAATGGGGGACGTGAGGTGGTAAACACAGGCCCTTCCTAGCTGACCCCCACCAACCCGCTCCTACTCTAGGTAAGATGTGGCTCTACTCCAACCTGCGCTGTGGAACGTCCAAAGAGCCTTGCCTGGAAGCTTTCAACCAAACCAACCAGAAGCTGGGCCTGACCTACAACACCACCTGCTGCAGCAAGGACAGCTGTAACAGCCCAGCCCCCCGGCCCGCGCCAGCCCTGGCCCTCGTCTTCCTCACCTCCTTGGCCGGTGTTGGCCTCTGGCTGCTGCACTGAGACTCACTCCCGGGCTGCCCCTGTTCCCGCCTGCCCTAACCAGAGCCCCTCGCCCTGTGTCTCCAGACCCCCTGGCTTCCCAGGGTGATGTCTCCTTGGCTACCTTTGCCTGGAAAAGCACTTTCCCAAGTCTTTAATTAGACAGTGTCCCAGAAGTGGTCTCTCCATCCCTCCCACCCACCCTGCTCTGCCCCCGTCCCCTCTCATCTCTGCTGAGATCACCCCAGATCATCCACTGGCCCCTAGATGGGCCCCTCGCTTTGCTCCAGCATGCTGCAGTGCCCTGCCTGGGAGGGACAGGGATCTGGGCCTGAGATGGGGCTTCCATCTGCCCCCCCACACCCGAAGGCTCAAGGAAGGGCCTGATGACCTGGCTGCATGGGGCCGATTCCCAGATCCCGGCTCCTACATATACCCGATCCCCATGCTCCTCTCCTTCCATTTTGAATAATAAATGTCTATGTCTAATAAAGTGTGTGTGTGTTGTCAGAAGACCTAAGTGTCAGGCCCCTCCCAGCACATAGCATTCTCAGTCCCCCACCCTTACCCAAGAATCCTTTAGGGAGTTTCCCTGGGAAGCTGGGCTGGAGGGAATGGAGAAACAGGTTTTTCAGGCCTCTCTCCCTCCTAGTGTCTGGGGTGGCACACTGGTCCCAGTGTTCAGAGAAGCAATCCTTATCCTAAATTGAGGTCACACTTTTAAGGTACTGCCCCAAAGCAGGTGCAGCCTGGCCTGAGGGCTCCCTGGGAAGGGTAGGGAGGTATGTGGGGACAAGGCTCTGGACCTCTCAGGTCAGGGTCCAAGGCCACCCGTCATAAGTGGGGCTCCGAGCAATTCTCTTGCCATAGTACTGGCTTTCCTTTCCCAATTCAAATCGGGAGCCGAGGTGCAGACAGGGTAAGGGGCAACCAGACAACAGGGTGGCAGCATGCTGGTGCTCCCCGCCAGCCCATGCTCCGCTCGGGAAGTCTCACTAGCATCAGGACCCAGGAGTCCCTGAGGGCTGATTCTCCTTTGTCCTCTGGGGACTAGTTGGTTAAGGAGCCCCCGTGGTAGGGGGGCTGACACTGGGAATAAAACCAGAACCTGCATGCCCTCGTATACCCCTTCAGTCCTCCCATTCAAAGATAGATGGGAGTTTGCAGTCAGCCCTAGAGTGGTTGATATTTTTTTTTATCCATTTATTTATTTATCATTTGACCAGAGAGGGACAGAGTGAGCGAAAGAGAGAGTGAGAAAGCAAGTCGCCAGATCTGGGACTTGAACTGTGGTTACCAGAGCCCCTCGCCCTGTGTCTCCAGACCCCCTGGCTTCCCAGGGTGATGTCTCCTTGGCTACCTTTGCCTGGAAAAGCACTTTCCCAAGTCTTTAATTAGACAGTGTCCCAGAAGTGGTCTCTCCCTCCCTCCCACCCACCCTGCTCTGCCCCCGTCCCCTCTCATCTCTGCTGAGATCACCCCAGATCATCCACTGGCCCCTAGATGGGCCCCTCGCTTTGCTCCAGCATGCTGCAGTGCCCTGCCTGGGAGGGACAGGGATCTGGGCCTGAGATGGGGCTTCCATCTGCCCCCCCACACCCGAAGGCTCAAGGAAGGGCCTGATGACCTGGCTGCATGGGGCCGATTCCCAGATCCCGGCTCCTACATATACCCGATCCCCATGCTCCTCTCCTTCCATTTTGAATAATAAATGTCTATGTCTAATAAAGTGTGTGTGTGTTGTCAGAAGACCTAAGTGTCAGGCCCCTCCCAGCACATAGCATTCTCAGTCCCCCACCCTTACCCAAGAATCCTTTAGGGAGTTTCCCTGGGAAGCTGGGCTGGAGGGAATGGAGAAACAGGTTTTTCAGGCCTCTCTCCCTCCTAGTGTCTGGGGTGGCACACTGGTCCCAGTGTTCAGAGAAGCAATCCTTATCCTAAATTGAGGTCACACTTTTAAGGTACTGCCCCAAAGCAGGTGCAGCCTGGCCTGAGGGCTCCCTGGGAAGGGTAGGGAGGTATGTGGGGACAAGGCTCTGGACCTCTCAGGTCAGGGTCCAAGGCCACCCGTCATAAGTGGGGCTCCGAGCAATTCTCTTGCCATAGTACTGGCTTTCCTTTCCCAATTCAAATCGGGAGCCGAGGTGCAGACAGGGTAAGGGGCAACCAGACAACAGGGTGGCAGCATGCTGGTGCTCCCCGCCAGCCCATGCTCCGCTCGGGAAGTCTCACTAGCATCAGGACCCAGGAGTCCCTGAGGGCTGATTCTCCTTTGTCCTCTGGGGACTAGTTGGTTAAGGAGCCCCCGTGGTAGGGGGGCTGACACTGGGAATAAAACCAGAACCTGCATGCCCTCGTATACCCCTTCAGTCCTCCCATTCAAAGATAGATGGGAGTTTGCAGTCAGCCCTAGAGTGGTTGATATTTTTTTTTATCCATTTATTTATTTATCATTTGACCAGAGAGGGACAGAGTGAGCGAAAGAGAGAGTGAGAAAGCAAGTCGCCAGATCTGGGACTTGAACTGTGGTTAGCTATGTGGGAGTCCAGCATCCTCAACCACCTTGCCACCTGCCAGTCCCACAGTGGCTGATAGATTTTAATGGCTCACAGAGGAGTGCTCATCTCACCTCTGCTATTCGGGTCTCCCTCACTCCCCTGATCCCCTACTCCCTTCCCTACCCCTCCTCCCACTACCCTCTCCACAGTCCTGGCAAGAGCCAAACCAGGGCAGCCACGATGCATGTGGGGGCCGCAGTGCTGGCCACGGCGCTGTTGCACAGGTCCCCCAGGCAGCAGTCCCGGTGGGTTGTGTAGGTCACGTCTCCCACCGACTCCGTTTCCACTTGATTGCAATGATGGGCCGCCACGCAGGCCGGATGGTGATGAATCAAGGTCACCGAGGCTGAGAGAGAAGGAGACGGGGCTGTGGGGGTCCTGGCTGCAGGACTTGCCTCTGGGGCAGAGAAGATGTGGTTTCAAGGAGCCCAAAGGGATTCTCTGCCCTCTGAAAAAAACACCTCCCTGAAACCAGATCAAAGTTACCACAACGGCGGCGTTGACGTGAGCCCTGAAGACGCAGCATCACTTCTGTGGTATCCTGCCTAAAAGCGTGACCTCAGTCTCATGAGACAGCATCCCATAAAAGCCAAGGGGCACTTTATCAAATAACCTACCAGGGATCTTCAAAAATGCCATGGAAGTCAAAGGCTGAGACGTGGAACAGGTCAGAAGAGACTGCAAAGATGCGAGAACTACATATGCGTGGGAGCCTGATCTGCGTCCTGGACCAGAGAGAGGGCGGGAGTGGGACAACCGGCCACGTCAGATACAGTCGGTAGCTCAGTAGAACTGCATCGCTGTTATTTCTTGGTTTTGATAATGGTACTATGGCTATGGAAGATGTTCGCCTTAAGGGGAGCAGGGTGATGGATATACAAGGACTCTATTTTTTTTTTTCTTTTTAAGAGAGAGATTTTTGCTATGGGGCACATGTGCTCACCAGAGAGACAGAGAAAGACAGAGAGACAGAACACGAGAAGTCACCCCCTGGGGTTTAGCCATGCCACAATCCCTTCTCCTCTATTCTCTTCTTGGGATCTTGGGCACCCATGTACATGTGCCCAGCGTGAGTTTAAGCCACTGGGTCCAGGACTCGAACCATGGTCGATTACGTGGGAGTCCAGCGACGTAACCATTATGCCATCTGCTGGTCCCTATACTATTTTTTTCTAAAACAAAAAGTTTATTCAGTTCACTCAAAAAACATTGACAAAATAAATTTCAGTTTATTTCAGCAATTTCACAGGTACCAAAAATAAAAGTGATATTTATAATAATGGTTTCCAAATTAATGAAAAAGTACAGTTTTGGGATGAGCAGATGACATAATGGTTATGTAGCTGGACTTCCACGTAGTCGACCATGGTTCGAATCCTGGACTTGGTGGCTTAAAACTCACACTGGAAGCAGGAACCAGCAGTTAGCGTAATGGCTATGTCGCTGGACTCCCACGTAGTCGACCACGGTTCGTGTCCTGGACCCGGT